GAGCAAGGAAAAAAAAAAAAAAAAAACAAAAAAAAAAAAAAAAAAAAAAAAAAAAAGGAAACAGAGCTTTTGTTTGTAAATGAGGGAAAGAGAGGTAGAAGAGAGAATGGGAAAAAAAGAAGCAAAATACACATACAGGTACAAATTCCCTATGATGAATGTTATATATATATCTAATACCAATATGGGAGGAGGCGGTGAAGGGATGGCAGGGGTATGGGGAAAAAATGTACAATAAATTTTTTGCTAAAAAAAAAAAAAATCACTCTAGCTCACTCTGACCCAATCCAGTCTTAACCACTAGAAAATTAAGGTGATAGCATCTTCACTGTGCACAAAAATAGTGCTACCACAGGCTCTGCAGTAGCAGCAAGAACCTGGGTCACAGGGGGTGCTTGGGGAGCTCTTTGTTCTGACAGTGGAGCCCTTTCCCTACTTACCCTACACCGATGATCATGATAGGCTAACACTGCACCAAGACCTATTAGGGTCCCCATGGCTTTCCATCCTCTAGTGCTGGAGTAATCACCAGAGAAGCTGGGGCTGGGGTGCTGGGGTTGACGTGAATCATTTGTAGAGCAGGCCCCAATGCAGAGCCTGGAGGGAGTTGATCTGAGTCTGGAAGAAAGAGATCGTAGTAGTACACATGTCATGTAAAAGTGCCAGTAACAATCTAGGGTCTGTTTGGTCACAGTTCCTTCAGGTAGAATTTAGTTTCTCTAAAGATGGGTGGGACAAGTGGAATATGGTTTTTCTTTTCCTGCTTGGTCACCTCTCAACTATCTTATCTGGAAGGTTCAATAACTATCTGGCAGATGCCAGGCATGGTGGCGCACTCCTGTAATCCTAGCACTTGGGAGGCGGAGGCAGGAGGATCACTGTGCGTTCGAGACCAGTCTGGCTACATAGTGAGTTCCAAATCAGTCTCAACTACATAGTGAGACCCTGTCTCAAAAAAAGAAAAGAAAAGAAAAGAAAAGAAAACTATCTGGCAGATAAGATAGTTATCTGGGAGATATAGACGGCCCGGATGCCCTACCTGCAGGCCTGTCGAAGCCCAAGGACCACAGGTCGGTGCAGCAGTAACAACATTGTGGCTGTCCTGTGGGAGGAAGACCATGATGAAAATAAGACCCCTGTAAGGAGTGCTTAGAGAGGGCTGAGAGAATCAGTGGGAGGAAGGGACTGTGTCGGCAAGGTTGAGGGTCCAAACAGACCTGCTTCAGAGACAAATAAGTCTCTGAAACTGGCAGGACAGAAAGGAAGGAGGGGTAGGTGCTTTCAGCGATACCAAGGCCAAGGGCCTAAAAGGGCAGAAGCCAAATGTCTACTGTCCAGTTTGGCAGTTTATTTATTGTGAATGGTAGGCAAGCTGTACCCCTGTCCTGCCCCAATTTGCTTGGTAATTATTTTGGATGTCAGCAGAGGACAACAAGGGTCAGACCTATCGATATAAGCTGGGACAAAAAGGTAAGAAAGGCAGTGTGAGCCTAATGAAGTGACACTATCTGGAGTTTATGAAACCCAGTCCTGCTATTGACTAGTCGTCTACCCAGCAGAACTAATATGAAGAGTAAACAAGTCTAATAATGTTGTCATTGAAGGACTTGCCCCGTACTTCACTCCACTTCCTAACAAATGACTTCAACTGAGAACCGGACTGATTCCAGGTCCCCACCCTAACCTCTATGCCATTGTTAGGCAAATTGCAGTCAATGGTCAGGGTGGCAGCGTAGAAAAGGAAGTTATTTTTTTGGCTCTCTGTCCTGCAGCAGCTTCTTCCTCACAGCGCTGTGCCTCAGAGTTGGCCAATGATCCACCACGGATCAAGGTGATCAAGATGGGGAGGGGTGAGATGTGTCCCAACTGCTGCCTGCGAGGGTGGTCATGGATTCGGAGACAGAGAAGCCACCAAGACTGGGGAGTCTACTCTTTACTATGGATTCCTGGGCCATGGAACCCTCACTCTTCCTGCCACTTATCCTGAATTGCAGCAGTCTGCTTGGACCAGAATGGAGTCCCGGGTCTGGGAAGGGTGGCCTGCTGCTGCAACACAGAAATACCACTTCTCGGTGTGGGTGGCGGCCTCTCACTGCCCAGGGGCACTTTTGGTAGGAAGATATGTCCAGCATTCGGGCAGAGAGGCGGGCCCTATGCCACTGCCCAGCAGCTAGCACAGGAGGTCTTGGAGCAACCCTCCGCAACCCCAAGAGCAAGGCGGCATCGGGAGCCGAGGCGCCGCTACTTTTGTTACACCGACGGTTTGGAGACCCGCTGGGTGCCACGACCCTCCCGGCCGACCTCCCCGCCGCAGCCTCCTTACCCGGCTCCGCGTCCTCACCTCCCGG